GCAACCTGGTCTGGTGGGAGGTGTCCCTGCCCAGGGCAGGGGGTTGGAACTGGATGATCTTTAAAATCCCTTCCAGCCCAAACCATTCTATGATTCTCCACTCCACACCTTCTGTTTGCTCCCTGGTTCCCACCAAACCTCTGCTCGTGCCCATGGCTTGTGGGAAGGACTGACCAACCTGGCTTCCTCCCCCCTCCCCAACCTCTGCAGAAGGGCTGGGAAAAGTAGGAAAAGGTGCCAAAACCTCACCAAGCAACGAGGAAACAGGAGCAGGTTGGGTCTTGGTGTCGCCCAGAGCTGGCTGTGCCAGGCCACCCCCACCACCCCGCTGACAGCCCCACGTTATCTCCCCTGCCATCCTTCCCACCGGCTCGTTTTGCTGGTGACTCAGTCTATTAAATGGGCGTCATGTTTTATTACAAACCTGAGCTGATTAATTACATGCTGTTAGGCAAAAAAAAAAAAAAAAAAAAAAAAAAAAGAGTTGAAAAAAAAAAAAAAAAAAAAAAAAAAAATTAAAGCAAGCAGGAGGTGGTGACGCAATGGAGGTGCCAACAGCGAAGTTGTCACTTCTGGAAAGGGAGAGAAAAGGATTAAAGAGCTGAATGTAACCAGAAGAGGTGAGTGGATCGGTCACGGGAGGCGTTGGGAAAGTGTGGTTGAGCACGGTGCCCACCCACCCACCCTGCCAGCCCCCCCTGGCAAGGCTGGAGAGATGCAGAGCTCCTTGTCCCTCTTAAAAAGTAGTCATTGCCATCTGTGCTAATTCCAGCAAAATTCCAGCAATGCTTTTTAGGAAAGATTCTGGAGTTTCTCTGAAGTGGTGAGTGGCCGGGCTGTCACGGGGGGATGCACACAACAAAGAGGGGGGTGTGGAAGCAGCAATGCCCCTCCAGCCCCCAGACTTCCTCCACCCAGCAGTAAAACAGGGGGAGGATGTGCCCACACCTCCTGGTTTTCCATCTGGATCTTGCAGCCTGATGAGAAAAGGGCAAAGCAGCCCTTGCTGGGGAGAGATGGAGAGTTCCTGGTGGGTCAGTGTCCCAGCTCTCACCCATGGGGAGAGGGGACGTGGCTCCATCCCTTTGTGCTGGGGAGAAGCCAGCACCAGCGAGGTGAGGAAAGCAGGGGAGGATGGTGACTGCCAGCCCTGCCTCTCAGGACACAAGCTGGGAACACCTCTTTTTCAAAAGGAGGCTCCATGAACCCAAAAAAAGCCAACCCCGTGGCCCTTTTTAAAACTTTTTGAAAACTTTGGGTCCAAGGCAAAGAGCGAGCGGGGTGGTTTCACGCCAGGAGCGTCAGTAGATGAGGGTGTGAGTCACTCCGTTGGCTCTCTGCAGAAGGGATGGCAGGAGGCACCACGCTGGGATTGCCCTGGGTGGCAGCTCACGCCCTTTGAAGCACCAACGAAGCCAATTTTTATTATTTTTTTTTTTTTTTTCTATACGTGTTTGTGGCTCGTGCTTGAATTCAAACGAACCCTGCTGCTTGTGTGTAAAACAGGGCATCTCTTTGGTGCTTGGGCTGGCAGATCTCTCTGTGGTAGCATTGCCCCTGGCTGGATGCTGGGTGCCCACCAAGCTGCTCAATCACCCTCTTCTTCAGCTGGACCAGGGGGGTAGGAGATAGAGGAAAGTCTCGTGGGTCAGGATAAGGGCAGGAAGATCACCCAGCAGTTACTGTGACAGCCAGTACAGGCTTGACTTGGGAAATTAATTTAATTTATTGCCAATTAACACCAGAGTAGGATAATGAGAAATAAAATCAAAGCTAAAACCACCTTCCCCTCCATCCCTCCCTTCTTCTTCTGAAGGCTCAACTTCACTCCCAAGTTCTCTACCTTCTCCCCTCGAGCAGAGCAGGGGAACAGGCAATAGGGGTTGTGGTCAGTTCATCACATGTTGTCTCTGCTGCTCCTTCCTCCTCTTCCCTTCCATGGAAGACAGTCCTCCATGAGCTTCTGCAACAGGAGTCCTTCCCAGGCAGTTCTTCACAAGCTGCTCCAGCGTGGGTCCTTTCCATGGGGTGCAGTCCTTCAGGACAAGGCTGCTCCAGCATGGGTCCCTCACAGGGTCACAAGTTCTGCCAGCAATCCTTCTCCAGGAGCCTGGGCTCCTCTCTCTACAGGTCCACCAGGAGCCTGCTCCAGTGTGGGTTTCCCATAGGGTGACAGTCTCCTTTGTGGCTCCAGCGTGGGGTCCTCTGCAAGCTGCAGGTGGATATGTGCTCCCCCATGGATCTCTGCGGGTTGCAGGTGGGTGTCTGTTCCACTGTGAACCTCCATGGTCTGCAGGGGAGGTTCTGGAGGAGGTCTGGAGGTCTGCAGGAGGAACCTGCATCACAAGGGGCTTCACCATGGGTTTCACCATACCCCCATCTGCTCCCACACCTGGAGGACCTTCTCCTCCTCCCCCTTCTTCACTGACCTTGGTGTGTGCAGGGTTGTTGCTCTCACTTATTCTCACTTCTCTCTCCAGCTACACGTGCCCACTTCCACAGCAACTTTTTCCCCTTCTTAAGTACGTTATCCCAGAGGTGCTACCACCATCCCTGATGGGCTTAGCATCTTTTAGCATTTGCTGATGCTGTTCAAATTCTTGCTGTGGCCCCGTGCTCTCTGGTAAGTGTCCCAGAGCCCTGGCTAAAACAGGAATGATAGAGATTTTGAACATATTATTAGTAAACCCGGGTGACTCATGGCTTTCAAAACAGCAGTATTGCTACTGCCTCGCTCACCGGGGAGCACAGGTTCTTCATAAGACAAGAGCAAGTGAGGAAAATGTACATCATCAGGGTGTCAGGTACATCCCTGGGCGGTACCACCACAGCCTGGTATTGACAGCAAAGCTTCAAAGCAATTTGAAAATCATCGGGTCAGGGAATATAGAACTAAAAAATGGTTACACGCTTCCTGGAGATGTTTTACTTCAGAAAATCAAATTTAAAAAAAAAAACAACCCAAAGTTTTTTTCAATAATGGAATTGAGTTGTCTTGTACCTCACCCTATAGCCCATCCTCTAGCTTTTTAATGCTTCAGCCCGCTCTTTTTAATGCTTTCACCTATCTTACCACTCAATAAATGATACTTTTACATAGAATTATAGGACAATTTAGCCTGGGAGGTGCCTTTGGGGGCCTTCTCAGGTCAGGGCCAGTTCTTCAACAGCTGAGAAGGCCCTCAGAGAACCCCTGCCTGTTGTTGAAAATGGGTCCTCACCAAACAGTCATCCTTTGGAAACCCCAATGAACCCAGGGATGGGGCAGAGGAGTGCCAGAGGTGTCTCTGCTGTTAGTGGAGGGGGTGGACTATGGAGGATGCAAAGTAGGAGGTTAGGGAGAGGGTTTGGGGCCCAACTGGCCCTTCTTTTACCTATCTGTATATAGAAAAAGTCCGTTTTCTGATAAATTATGGCAAACGAACAACCAGCTACTTGCTGGAAATAAGGGTGATTCCCAGCGAAAGCAAAACTCCATCCATCAGGGTGGTTCAGAAATTGAATTTTTAGTGGTGACCAGTGCGGGGCATAAGAATGGAGCATGAGGTCCAGCTTCAGCAGCCACGGCCAAAAACTCCACAAGAAAAGACACAGCATCAAAAAAGCAAGGTGAACGGCCAACATATGACCAGGAGGGGTCCAGAAGCCTTTTCAGCCAACAGAGGTACTGTATTTTTTATGAACTATCCAGCAGACCAGCATGGAGCTTGTGCTCCTGGAGAGAAATGAGACATGCAAAGGGCAAAGTCTGATGGATGTCCCTGGAAAACAGCGGGCAGCAGCTGCAGCAACTTTCCTCCTAAGGAGATGGGGGAGAAGAGGTAAAGACAGATAAATATTTCTATTATGCACTTAGAAAGAAGCAGGTTGGTATCTTCAAGCAGAATGAGAGAGGCCATACATTTTTAGCTGCTAAGTTATAAGCGAGGACATTAAAAATCTGTGTTAGACATAAATAGGTTTAAGTCTTGCTACGTACTCAGGAGGCCTGAAAGATCTCCCTAGGAGATAATTAGCCCACTCATCTTCATTTTGAATACATCCTGGTGTACCAGGGAAGTTCCTGAAGCCTGACAGAGCATTAGCATTAAGCTGCTGTTAAAAAGGCATAGAGATGAGCCTGGTAGTTGTAGGACATTTAGTCTGACATCAGCACAAGGCGAACTGGTGAGGCTGCTGTAGAGGAGCTGGGAAGGAAGCTGAGCCTGGGACAAGGGGGAGAAGAAAGGTATCATTTTAAGGTTTGTCACTGTTTGTCACTACCTGAATCTATTTTAATTGGTTACAAATTAAAATGTTTTCCCCCCAGTCAAGCCTGGTTTGCCTGTGATGGTAGCTGTCAAGGGAGATCCCTGTCCTTACCTTGACACAAGACCTTTTTCACCCCATTTTTTGAGATGCTGGAGCGAGGGGCTGGGTGGGAGCTGGGCTGTTTGTGAAGGCACGGAGTCCACAGGAAGCAAAGAGAAAATGCATTAGTTAATTTAAAAAAGGGATGATGAATAAAGCTAATAAATAAAGGGTAAGGAGGCCAATCATGGGGATATATCCTTGCCCCTCCCAGGAGCTCCCTTGCCATCACTTCCAGCCTGTCCTTGGATGCTGTAGGTCGGGGGTCTGATGCCATCCCAGGCTATTCCAAAACTTGAAAATAAATGCTATTGGCAGATTGATTTATTTTTTTTTTTTCCTTACAGGTATTTTCACCCTCGTACACCTCTACTAGTTCAAAAAGCCCAAGCAGTTTCTCTCCGAAGTATTGATTTTTAATCTTGTTTGCCCTTCATGTTCGATTTAGCCAAAGAGAAGGAGCTCTTGTAGGAGCGTGCAACGGTTGGCGTGTTGGGATCCATCCCCTCTGGAGCTTAACTACAAACACCAGGCTTTCCAGGGAGCTGCTGCTGCTAAAGTCTGCCGGAATCCAAGAAAAAGCTGAGCTCTATTTTCCAAAAATATCCACTAGAGGGTACTCAATGACCTCCCAGTGAAGGCAGGTTGGGCTCCGAGCGACTGGAAGAGGAGGAGAGGAGAGCCCAAAGAAAATGTCATGGAGGGTTGCGTTAACTAATGGCAAAGCACAACGCCGGACCAGAAAGCACAGTAAGGTGGATTTTGGGGTGGGAGGGGGGGGGAAGAAATGTTGGAATGAACTTAAATCCAGCAGGAGCATCTCTGTACCACAGCTCCAGAGAGCACTGGAAAGGGGGCAATGGGAAGAGGGGGTTTGGTGGCCCTTTGCTGGGAAGCGGAGTGGGGAACGGGAGCCCACGTCCAGCCCGACTGTGGGATGGGACTGGGGGGCTGGCCAGGACCCCCATTCACACCCCCACGACAGCACCCCGCTGGTCTGGCTCCCTTTTTGCCCTGGGTATTTTTGTCCAACCTGCAAGGAGAGAAGCTTTGGGGGTGACCCCTGTGCTCACTGGTTTGATACAACTGAGTTTTTTCTGGAAAACATGCTTTTCTTTTTTTTTTTTTTGGTTGGGCTCCGAGAGACTGGGAGAGAAGAGGAGAGCCCAAAGAAAATGTCACGGAGGGTTCCATTAACATTGGCAAAGCACAACGCCGGACCAGAAAGCACAGTAAGGTGGGTATTGGGGGGGAAGAAATGTGGGAATTAGCTTAAATCCAGCAGGAGCATCTCTGTACCACAGCTCCAGAGAGCACTGGAAAGGGGGCAATGGGAAGAGGGGGTTTGGTGGCCCTTTGCTGGGAAGCGGAGTGGGGAACGGGAGCCCACGTCCAGCCAGACTATGGGATGGGACTGGGGGGCTGGCCAGGACCCCGATTCACACCCCCACGACAGCACCCCGCTGGTCTGGCTCCCTTTTTGCCCTGGGTATTTTTGTCCAACCTGCAAGGAGAGAAGCTTTGGGGGTGACCCCTGTGCTCACTGGTTTGATACAACTGAGTTTTTTCTGGAAAACATGCTTTTCTTTTTTTTTTTTTTTTAAGACCTAATCTCAGGTATTGAGGTATTAAAAAAACCCCCACAACTCATCTCATAAAACAACAACAGCGATTGCTGTTCCACAGCCATTTATTTTATTGTGCTAATCAAATGGGATCATTTTAAACGGGCAGCAAATGACTGTCCTTTGTAGGCAGGCTAGAAAATGAGGTGATTTTACCATGCAGATAAGTCACAAACACTCACAGAGGCTTTATAAACCCAGCAAATCCACTAATCATAAATTTCTGTTCCTATTATTATGCCAGGCTTTTATTTCCCCATTAAACGCTGCAAAGGGCATGTAAAATGCTGGGCATGGTCTCAGAAAGGCTGGCCCTGCAAGGATAAGCCATTCATCTTTTGCCTTCTGCTTTCAAAAAAAATCAATAATAAGCATCTCATTTCAGGCTTGAAAGAGGAGAATTTTTACTATCCAGCAGGACATCTGAGTTATTGACCTTGAACGCTAATCAGTGTGTTTGAATGTTCTCACCAGGTTTAGAGCCGAGGCTAAAAAAAAAAAAAACCTAATTAAATCAGCAGGGGGCACGATTTCTTCAAAATATCCCAGGATTACCCAGCCCTGTGCTGGGTTTTCTTCCTCACACAGCTCAGGGCTGCCCACCAATACCCTTTTTAAAGATCTAAAGTTTTTTCCCAGTTAACCTGTTCAGCCCCTGAGCTGCCCCATGGGGAATCCTCAGGTGTTATCGACGTAGTTTGGGGTCCTACAAAGGGACCCTCTGCCCCACCGGTGGGTCAGTCCTGCAAGGTGTCGCTTTAATCCTCCTGGAGTCCTCTCTTTTCTTCTTTTCCTGGGTGTCCCAATTTCCCAGGGACAGCCCAAGCCTCAGCTTCTTTGCCGTTAACCTGGGGTATTGTTGAAGAAGTGTGGAATCACATCTTCCAGTAGCCACAGGTCATGGGCACCAAGCCCCAAAGGCCCTGGTGGGCGGCGAGAGACTTGCCTGCACCCCCAAAATCCTTCTGAGCAATCACCAAAGGGGAAGGCAATACTGAGATGAACATAGACCGGCATTCTAGGAGAAGCAGGTGTCACTTTGGGAGGCAGCAGGAAGAAAATGTGGGGGTTATTACATCAACATTGGAATTGCCACACCAGGAGGCATCCTAGAGAAGACCAGGGAATGGTCCACCCAGCCCAGTGCCCTGGCTCTGCCAGGAGACCATATGTCTGATGAATAAAAGAAGGTTTAGGGTATCCAGTGGTGCCTTATAACCATGAGTGGCTTTAGTCAAAGAAAGGCTGTAGTAGGGAGGTGAGCAAACATTTTTGGTCATCGTCCTCCCAGTTGAGTCACAGAACATAGAATTGCCCAGGTTGGAAGGGACCTTTCAGATCATCGAGTCCAACCATCAACCCAACACTGAAAACCACCATCACTAAGCCATGTCTCTAAGCACTATGTCTGCCCGTCTTTTAAATACCTCCAGGGATGGTGCCACCCCCACTTCCCTGGGCAGCCCATCCCAAGGCTGAATAACCCTTTCAGTGTAAAAATTTATCCTAATATCCAATCTGAACCTTCCTTGGTGCCACTTGAGGCCATTTCTTCTTGTTCTATCTCCTGTGACTTAGAAGAGACCGACCGCCCCTGGCTACACCCTCCTTTCAGGGAGTTGCAGAGAGCGAGAAGGTTCCCCCTCAGCCTCCTTCATACCAGGTGTTGAATCTTGAGAAGCTCAGGTTCTTGGTCCTGTTTTTTCCCTCTGAAAACTTACTTTCAAAGGCTGGGCACTCAAGCTGTCTGGCATTACAAGCAAAAAAGAGGGATGAATTCCTGAAAAAATTGACTCTTCCACTTCCTAATTAGCAAACCCCAATTAATAGCTGTGAGTAGCTTTAGGGCTATGTTTTGTTTCCTTCACAGACAGACTTATGGAAAGGCTTTACCTGCTCCCAGTACAGGTGCTATGTCTCTGCCAGAGCCTCCTGTGAGGAAGACACCGGTGGGGAGGGTACCTGTGGGGGCTGGGGGTGACAGTGGCAAAAAACCAGGTGCTGGTTATGAGCACAGATGAGGGAACACTGTAAATACTTTCTTAAGGAAAGCTTTTAAATGCTAAAATTCTGAGGGAATATCCTCCAGTGGCTTCTCTAGGAATTATTTTTTTTTTCCCCCATATTTAACTTGTTCCCGATGATGTCCCATTGCAAACCCTCTGCTTGAATACACCTGCACAAGGACAAAGCAGAGGTATAGTCAAGGGTAACTGGAGGTGAATGGATTTTATCCACTTTCAGCTCAGGACAATGCAATTTCCCACTTCTCCAGCTGGGTAAACTTGCCATTTCTTTCTCAGTTACACCCCCAGCTGCTTCTCATTGCTTTCACCTGCAGAATAGGCAGGACAAAAGCAACAGGAGGTGGAGATGGAGAGCAGTGGGGTCTGAGTGCCCACAGGGATACAGAGAGAGGAGAAAAGAAGGGGAGATGTCCTCCTTTATTTTTAATATTTCGTCTTGGATACCTGATCTGAAGGTTTATTTTCATGATGAATTCTTCTCCAGACTCCGCCTTAGCTTCTCGGTAAGTTCAAGTTCACCTACAAGCTTTGATCATTAGAGAAAGGGGTTTTTTCTCCTTGGCATCAAGGATCGTGTGTAGATTTAGGGGCTTTGGTCAGCTGTGCTCGTTTGGGCTTGTTATAAAAGTTGGCAATTGAGACAGAACTGTGTGAGTAAATCAAAGTTCAGAACACAGCGTAACCCTAAATATGTGGTTTATAAAGCAACACGTTAGTTATTTTAATAATTACATGGCGTCTCTTTGTTTCATCCAAATGCCTGTTTCATCCAAATGCCCTGCCTTCGCTTCAGTGCCTCTAATTAGGTGCGTTTGATTGAGCTGTTGGTAACCTCTCACGTGCATCTCCTCCATCCTGGCTTTTTGTTAGCTCAAAAAAAAAGGGGGGGTTGTAAAAGGCCAGTTTGGGCTTTGTTTCATGAGGCTGAGCCACGGTTTCTATTCATGTGCAATGGGGAGGAGATCTGCACACCCAGGTAGACCTTCCAGAAGATGAAGTGCTGCAGCTTTCCTGCTTCCCTGGTGAATATGCAGGTGTGGATTAAGGACCACCCACCTTCTTCTCATCTCAGGGATAAATCACACCCTCTGAAGCGGGTACATGTTTCTAGGGCTTCCAGTTGCTAGATAACCTTGGTGATGCATTTAAAGTGATTTATTAAATGCAGAGGGGGGAAATAAAAATAAAATAAAAAAAACAAGCAACTGTTTTCCACTTGAGAAATATTTTCTAACCATTTCTGGTGAAAAGGTAGAGGTGATAGGAGCCAGGCTGCAAAAAAATGGTAATTCTTTTTCTCCCCAGTCCCCAAAATCAATGGACAATCCTGGAGAGTTGCACACTCTCATTCTGCACACACGCGTGCCAAGGACTTCCTTGGTCTGGACATGTAGGTCTCTACATCTCCTACTGCAGGCTCAGCAGAGGGGTCTTCTGCCCACCCCCAGCCCCTCTGAGACCTTGTTTCACACACATGTCAAATGGGTCGACTGGGCTGGATTGCTCATTAATGTGGCGTGAGCCAACAGAAGAAGCAGTGGCCACTGGAAGGGTTAATGGTCCCAAGATGGTGTGACCAAAACTGGCTAAAATGTTTGAAATGCAGGAGGCTCACTGATTTGTTAAGTGGCATTTTCTCACTTCTCCATCCCAGTCCTCTCCGTGTTTTGCTGAGGGCACCTAGATGAGAGCCTGCTGTTGGATTATAACCCCAAAGGTTGTCCACCTCTTCTCCAAAATGATCAGATTTAACTGAGATGTGAACAAGGGGAGAAGACAGCTTGGCTTATTTTTTTAAAGACTTTTTATCTCATACTGAGAGCAGCCAATTTCCTCTGTCATCTTGCTTCCCAGATGCCTTCTTTTTCCACTTTCTCCTGGAGTTTCCCTTGTCCAGGAAAGACTGATTTACCTAAAAAAAAATATGCTGTCCTCTGCAAATTGTTACATCTCTGGCCTGCAATTTTGAGGTCTCTAAATGTGTTTTAAAATGGTTGCTAGGTTTGCTTTTTTCCAGCCTCTCATTTCAGTGTCTGCTTTTACTGAGAGTTTGCTCTTTTGGATGTTTTAGTTGGGTTTGGTTTTCCCCTTGCAAAGACCTGAAGAAATCTCCTGTATGTAGCCCCTGCTCTTTAGCCAGACTTGAAACAGGTGTGGGATGTGTGAGTGGATCTAGACACTCTTGGAAGTCTCTGTGGCTTAGATCATGTGAACCACTTCCCCTTTTATTATTTATTTAGCAAAATTTAGTGGCGTTATTTGGTTTTCAATGTGTCAACGTGTTTCCATCAATCATAGAATCAATAATTCAATCATAGAATTATGGAATGGTTTGGGTTGGAAGGGACCTTAAAGATCATTTTTATTTATTTAGCAAAATTTAGTGTCATCATTTGGTTTTCAATGTGTTGACGTATTTGCAGGTAAATCATAGAATCATGGAATGGTTTGGGTTGGAAGGGACCTTAAAGATCATCCAGTTCCAACCCCCTGCCCTGGGCAGGGACACCTCCCACCAGACCAGGTTGCTCCAAGGCCCATCCAGCCTGGCCTTGAACCCCTCCAGGGATGGGGCAGCCACAGCTTCTCTGGGCAACCTGTTTCAGTGCCATAAATGCTGTGTACAAGATGATCATCACGTGAAATATTAATGAACGTAGGGACTGGGAGAGAAAATACGCATCAGGGCTTGCAAATCTGCTGGGTACCAGTCCTTGGCATATATAAATCTACATCTATACACACATATATAAAACACTGTATAACCCGGCTATCCTCCAAAAGAGGGATGCTGCATCCAAGCTGTCCATGGGGAGCAGATTATCCAGGCTCCTTCCATGCTTATTGGGGAGAATATGCACTGGTCCTGGCTCCAAGGAGCTCATCTTGCCATCACAGGGCTCATACCTTCCTCCCATCACTTGCAGGTATCATCCCTGTCTGCAATTCCTTCATCCAAGCCACCAGTTTGGCAGCAGGGACCAAGAGCTCTGGGAGCTGGAAACCAAGAGGAGAAGCAATCTCTGGCCTGCAATTTTGAGGTCTCTAAATGTGTTTTAAAATGGTTGCTAGGTTTGCTTTTTTCCAGCCTCTCATTTCAGTGTCTGCTTTTACTGAGAGTTTGCTCTTTTGGATGTTTTGGTTGGGTTTGGTTTTCCCCTTGCAGAGACCTGAAGAAATCTCCTCTATGTAGCCCCTGCTCTTTAGCCAGACTTGAAACAGGTGTGGGATGTGTGGGTGGATCTAGACACTCTTGGAAGTCTCTGTGGCTTAGATCATGTGAACCACTTCCCCTTTTTTTATTTATTTAGCAAAATTTAGTGTCATCATTTGGTTTTCAATGTGTTGACGTATTTGCAGGTAAATCATAGAATCATGGAATGGTTTGGGTTGGAAGGGACCTTAAAGATCATCCAGTTCCAACCCCCTGCCCTGGGCAGGGACACCTCCCACCAGACCAGGTTGCTCCAAGGCCCATCCAGCCTGGCCTTGAACCCCTCCAGGGATGGGGCAGCCACAGCTTCTCTGGGCAACCTGTTTCAGTGCCATAAATGCTGTGTACAAGATGATCATCACGTGAAATATTAATGAACGTAGGGACTGGGAGAGAAAATACGCATCAGGGCTTGCAAATCTGCTGGGTACCAGTCCTTGGCATATATAAATCTACATCTATACACACATATATAAAACACTGTATAACCCGGCTATCCTCCAAAAGAGGGATGCTGCATCCAAGCTGTCCATGGGGAGCAGATTATCCAGGCTCCTTCCATGCTTATTGGGGAGAATATGCACTGGTCCTGGCTCCAAGGAGCTCATCTTGCCATCACAGGGCTCATACCTTCCTCCCATCACTTGCAGGTATCATCCCTGTCTGCAATTCCTTCATCCAAGCCACCAGTTTGGCAGCAGGGACCAAGAGCTCTGGGAGCTGGAAACCAAGAGGAGAAGCAGCACGTTGGGAAGGAGAGTTGGGTGGGCTGAGTCTCATGGGGGGCTCCTTTTGGTTTTGGAGCCCTGCGGGAGAACCTCAGGTATATTTTGTCCCGTTTTTAAAAACTGGGGCTGTTGAGCTGGCACTCAACTTATCACACACACCCGTTGGGCTAAATTTCTGAAGCAAAACGAGTGATATTGCAGCAGAGATGGGTTTCTGGCTTTACTAGATTATGTCGTCATATTGATGTATGGACGCCCAGGAACACATCTGTCTTGATTTACTCATTGCAAGTGGGCAACGCTCCCTTTGTTTTCCAACTTCTCAGCAATGCAGGCCATTAATTAAAATGTATGGCTCTCTCAAGTGCTATTTTAATTGCATTTCAATTCCAACCTAAAGGGCCGGCAAACAATAAAGCTGGGCATTATGTACCCTTTGAAATGCTGAGAGACTTGGGGGGAGCAGACAACTGCTGCAATCAATTTGCTCTCCCACGCTGCTCAGTTCCTGAGCGTGCCATTTGTTTGACTAATGGATGCTATTTTTTTTGTGTGTAAAAATCAACAATTTTAATATTGTTTTCCAGCAGAAACGATTTGTGCCTCGCTTGCGGATTAAGGAGAAAGTTCTTCAGCATCTCTCCGGAGTGCTGGTGAAACCATCTGCCAGAGCAGCCTCTCCTGAACTGGAAGGTCAGTCAATAACAGAGTAGAGGTTCATACCTCAAGCTCCCAAAACCTGGTAAGACCATTAATACCTTCGCTTTAGTGTTTGACTCCCTGGCATCAAAACCCATGGTCCTCCTGCCCCCTGCACCCCAGGACCCACCACAGAGTGGACATCTCTGCAGGGAGGTGAGAAGCCCCAGAGCTGAGTAGTGAGACCTGGATGTCATGGTCATCTCATGTGCCCTCTTCCATGGGGATCTCCTGTCCAAGCAGCTTGTCTTATTACCGCTCGGTGCTTATCAGCAGAGCTTTAAATTTCCCTTCCTTGATCAACACTGTCTTATCAGGGTTATCTCTTGATAGAGAGATTAAGTAATTATGTTGTGGTCGAGCAGCTGTGTCCTGCTCCTGGACACCACTGACTCCCTCAGAAACACCTCCCGTCAGCATTTCTTCCCACGCGACACTTTTCTGTCTTTGGAGGAAAATCAGAGGGAAATTGTGGGACTGAAAGCTCTTCTAAGTCCCCATTAATCTTCTTACTAGACTTGCTGAAAATATATATATTTAAAACACAGGAAAAGCTTTCCAATAAGGAAGGGCTACTTCTTGTTTTCTGTGCCCATTGCTTCTCCAGCCCCACTCCTTTTGACTTGGCTGCCTATTTCATCCCTCATTTCATAAAATTTGTTCCAATCTGACCCCTGTTTTTGTCTGATGGCAAAGCTTGTCCCCATCACTGGAGGGAGCCTTCCTGACTTAGGCAGTAGTAGACTCTTGAAACGTTGAGATTTCCTCTCCCTTTTTTCATCAAGATGAGCAAAAATCAGCTAATACAGAGAAAAGCATGTCTAATACTTGCTAGAGAGTCCGAATTTGTCTCGTATTCCTTTAAATATTTTAATCAGACGAGTGGGAGGGAGCAGCCTGGTCTCATTAATCGGAACACTGACAATGTTCATGGATAAGCTCCTGAGGGAAGAATTGCGGGATGTGGGTTATTTTCGGCAGCATTTGCCTGTCTATGCAGAACTGAAAATGCTTGTGATCTGCAACGGTTGACAAATAAAAATTTGAGCAATTACGTGAAGCCAAGGGGACCTATTCTGTGCTGAATTACAAATCACGCCACATGGACGGGTCCGAGGGAGCAATTGCACTGGCTGATGAAAGTCCAGACAAGTCTAATTACTTAACAATGACATCAAACCCAACTTTTTATCTCCCCTCAGACCCACATGAATATGAGGAAGGGAAAATCTTGAAATGTTTAATGCATCATCAAGCACCACCCACCACACCAGGTTGCTCCAAGCCCCATCCAGCCTGACCTCCAGGGATGGGGCAGCCACAGCTTCTCTGGGCAACCTGGGCCAGGCTCTCACCACCCTCACAGCAAAGAAGTTCTTCCCCAGATCCCATCTCAATCTCCCCTCTTTCAGTTTAAAACTGTTCCCCCTTGTCCTATGGCTCCCCTCACTGAGTCCCTCCCCATCTCTCCTGGACCCCCTTCAGGGACTGGAAAGGGCTCGAAGGTCTCCCCAGAGATTCTCTTCTCCAGGCTCGACGAGGCCCTGGGCAACCTGGTCTAGTTGAGAGTGTCCCTGCTGACTGCGAGGAGGTCAGACTAGATGACCTTTGGAGGTCCCTTCCAGCCTTGACAACTCTATGACTCTAAAAGCAGAAGCCATGGTCTGCAGTGGCAAAAAGATATATTAAACTGTTGCTTTGGAGACACCTTGATACCGCGGTTGTGACCGTGAAATCAAGCTGAGGTTTTGGAAGAGAAGGACACGGTAGAAGGATGAGAAGACTCCGTGGGCTGTGATTTATTTATTTGAACTTTATTCATTTATTTGAACTTACCCCCGAAGAGAACTAATATCCCATCGAATAATGGCCCACCTACGCTTATCCCAGCTCCATCTAATACTATGGTTTAGAGAACAAAGGCAACATCTTAAAGGGCATTTTGTTACTGTTGCTCTAATGGATTTAAAAAATTCCATGAAAGAGGTCAGAGACACTGCCTGTGAATACAATTCTGCAGGTTTACTTCAGCAGCTCTACAAATCAGTTAGTGATGTAATTGCAGAGCCAGCAAGTTGGAGTCCGTGTTAAAATAATGGTAATATTTATTCTGAAAAAAAACCCAAACCCTAAAGACACGTTTTGTCAAGGTATTGATTATGAAATGCGTGTTGTTTTTATACAAGCTGTATTAAGGGATAAATTTTGAAACACCTGGAAGGGAAAAAAAGCTGTGATTATCTCTAGTGGCAGCTAAAGCACACCCTAAGGGAAGAGAGAAAAAGTGAAATGGGACACTTGCTGCTATTGTATTTCTCTTTTTTTTCTCAGCATAACAAAGCAACATAAACAAATCAGCAGCTGGGCTCCTTCCCCTCTCCTCCCTCCACAGAAAGTAAGCAGATCTTTTCCCAACTAGCAGGAAGATGATGTGAAATAATTATGATGTCTGCAATCGAGGAACGAGGGAAAAAACCCCACCAATTACCACAGCAAGGTATTTCATGTGTTGTCTTTTTGGGGAAACTTTACATTTTTAGATAATGTTGCCTAATTGGAACCTGGCTGTCACTGAGCAGCTCTGCACAGAAAAGTAAATACTAAAGGCAACACAATGTCCTGGTGTCCCAGGGTGAGAGGACCCAACAGCCAGGGTGGGAAGGTGTTTCTGCGAAGCTGAGGGTCACAGAGCTGTGACGTGGCACCACTCTGGTGCTTTGCTCATTTCAGGGTTGCCTTTTTCCATTTGTCCTTCCATTACTCCTCATAAAAATTTATCTTTGCAGAGAGATGGCGATGCGCTCCAGGTCTCCGGTGATGCCCTGCTGCAGCCAAACCTCCTGCCTTGGCACAAAGGTGAGCTTTAGTATCTCCTTCTCTGGAGACATTCCAAACCCACCTGGACACGTTCCTGTGGGACCTGCTCTGGGTGACCCTGCTCTGGCATGGGGTTGGACTGGATGATCTCCAGAGGTCCCTTCCAACCCCATAGCATTCTGTGATTCCGTGTCATTCTGTGATTCCGTGTCATTCTGTGCATGTAGAGATGCATTTCAGGGCAGAAATGTGTTTCTATGATGAGGAGAGCTCACGTGGGTCAATCGTGCCAGCAACACACCCTGCACTTGAGCCAGCAGTGTGCCCAGGTGCCCAAGAAGTCCAATGGCATCCTGGCCTGTATCAGGACCAGCGTGGCCAGCAGGAGCAGGGCAGTGATGGTGCCTCTGGACTGGGCACTGGTGAGGCCTCACCTCGAGGGCTGTGTCCAGTTTTGGGCCCCTCACTACAGGAAGGACATTGAGCTGCTGGAACATGTCCAGAGGAGAGCCACCAAGCTGGTGAGGGGTCTGGAGAACAAGTCCTATGAGGAGAGGCTGAGGGAACTGGGCTGTTTAGTTTGGAGAAGAGGAGGCTGAGGGGAGACCTCATTGCCCTCTACAACTCCCTGAAAGGAGGGTGTAGAGAGGCAGGTGTTGGCCTCTTCTCCCAAAGGAATAATGACAGGACCAGAGGGAATGGTCTGAAGTTGGGGCAGGGGAGGTTTAGATTATATTTTAGGAAGAATTACTTTCCTGAGAGGGTGGTCAGGCACTGGAACAGCCTGCCCAGGAAGGTGGTGGAGTCACCATCCCTGGAGGTATTCAAGAAACGTGGAGATGTGGCTCTTCAGGGCATGCTCTAGTACCTGGGATTGTTGGGTTGTGTCTGTCTGTGGTTGTGGTTTTGCTTGTTTGTTTGTTTTGGGGTTTTTTTGGGTTGTTTTGGTGTTTTTTTGTGGTTGGACTTGGCAATCTCTAAGGTCCCTTCCAACCATGAAGATTCTGTGATGCTGATTTGTTTCCACGAGGAGCTAACGGGCAGGGAAAGGTGCCTTGGGGCTGGCATCCCAGGGGTTAATGGCACACAAACACCTTCCCGGTGTTTTAAATCCCTGTTCCCAGCTGGATTTAAATCCCAGGAAGGAGCTTTCAGCAGCAGTGCTGAGGGAGCAATAACAAACGATTCTATTAGTATTAATGCAGTCGGCTGGTGCTATTTATAATGTAAATATCATCTGAGTATGGAAAGTGCCCCATTGGCAGAACAGAGGTAAAAATTTCCATTCATCATGTTTTAAAACAGCCTAATCACACAATATGTACTTAGTAACCATAAATGAAAGGTTTTTTTAACATAAAGATGATTAATAATGGGCAGGTATGTCTCATGTATTTTCCTACCGGTGGAAAACATAAATATTTTGGCCCAAACATAAAAGCTGTGGTTTTTACAGTGAAGTGTTTACATTAATCTACCAAGTAATTTCTTTTTATTCCTGCAGGGAATTGGGGCCTTTAAAAGCACATGTAGGAAATGTGATTATATCTCATTTGGCTGAAGAATGAAACGTACTGCAAGAGCTACACACACACACTTCTGTTCTCGTGCCATCGTTGCCCACAGGCCCAGGGCTTTGAACCACACCACCCTGAGACCCCACGTCAAGAAGGACAGGGAACTGCAGGAGAAGGTACAGCAGAGGCTACAAAGATGATGAGGGAACTAGAACATCTCTCCTATGCGGAGAGGCGGCGGGACTTCTGTCTTTTAGTCCAGAGAAGAGAAGGCTGAGGGGGGATCTGATCAACACAGATAAATACTTCAAGGATGGGTGTCAGGAGGATGGGGCCAGGCTTTTTTCAGTGGTGCCCAGGGACAGGACAAGAGGGAACGGGCATAAACTGGAACATAAGAAGTTCCACCTAAACACAAGGAGGAACTTCTTTGCTGTGAGGGTGGCAGAGCCCTGGCAGAGGCTGCCCAGAGAGGTGGTGGAGTCTCCTTCTCTGGAGACATTCAAGCCCCACTGTGGGACCTGCTCTGGGTGACCCTGCTGTGGCAGGGGGTTGGACTGGATGATCTCCAGAGGTCCCTTCCAACCCCATGTGATTCTGGGAGACAGGAGATCTCACCAGCACCTCCGACACCAGCACCATTTTGGTCAGGGATGCTCAGCTGGTTTTATTACATAGAGGATGCTCTTCCAGTGTAGCCAAGTGGAGGAGCAGCCAGAAGGTGAAGGAAAGACCTTTTTTTTTTTTTTTGGATGCAACACATACTAAAATCTGGTGAGATAATAAAAAGTATCTCCCTCTTGAAACCTTTGTGGGTTTTGAACGTAGGATGAGTCTTTGGGCTTCATGGCATTCAGTGAAAGCCATGGAAAAGTCTTTCTTGCTCTTTGAATTCGATGTTAGCAGCACTGCTGGAAAATGCACCTTTTTCTTACCTCAACAGTTATTTGCCTTTTTTTCTTTTTTGTTGGCCTCTCCAGATTAAAGCAGATCATCATCATCTTCATCATCATCGTCACATGTGTTCGTGCAGGCAAGAGAACAACTCATCTCTGAATTTTGAGTGGGGTCAGCGCTCTTTCCACAACCTGAGACCCTCCAAAATTTTGCCTGGACTGAGATGACCACCCCCCCACATACCCCCTGGGCAAGCTCAGCAGGGTCTCAGCCGCTTGCCTCCCAACCAGCTTAACCAGTAAGCAGATTATGGGTGGGCTTGGAGAGTCTCTGATTGCTTAACCCAAGGAGAGCCTCTCTGGATTTGACACTCCAGGCCCCACGTTGATGTGGGAGACCCCAGGGACCACCACATCCTTGATGAGACGGTGCTCGACCATCATCTGCCAGAGCAGATGGTTAAGAGGGAAAAGTCCCACGTCATTAGTGTGCCAGCTGGCTCAGAAATGATGAAAGCCACTCTAAACCCACACGTGTTTCATCATCACTCATGGTAGAGAGGAAAAGGCAGGTGAACCATGTACCTGTCAGCAAATAATTCACCCCAACTTGTGTGTATGAGGAAATGCCTGTTGAATGCAAAGATGTTTTTTTCAGCAGCAAGAATGACGTTCAAAACACCATGCAAAATCTATTTTATTTTTTTTTTAGGATAGGTGATATTAATTTTTTAATTCTGTTTTAACTATATTTATTTTTTAGCCTGGGTGACAGCACTAGGATGACTAGAAGTAGTTTTAGCAGGAAGGCAAGCTTTGGGTGACCTCTCTTGTCCTCTTGCAGGCATCCAGTCACCTTCTCAGAGGGGTAATGCGAATTCAAGACGAGCGACGCACCGAGAAGGCACAGGCAGTGATATTTCACTTCCCAAGTCAGCATCATCATTTATGGAAAACTTTATGAAGGGAGTTGGCCAGTGGAGAAGAAGCCACTTGCTCCATTGCTTGATCCACCCTCCCAACACCCACAGCGGGTGAAACACCGTTTGAGCAGAAAGGTTTGTGAGCATTGTCCATCTAAATGGGGGTGTTTGGTGGTTGTTTTTTTTTTTTCCCCTATGATCTTGTGTCAACAAAGACCTGATTATGTTCTTACCTGATCTCTGTTTAGCAGGAAACATTTTTAAAGGTTATGGTTGCTGGTGCCGGTGTTATTTCTGCTGAGCACTGTGCCTCTCCTGCTGCTGCACCCCCAGCAATCTCCCCAAAAAGAAGGTCATTCCCTGATTGTTTCTAGTTCGGTAATTAACTGTGGTAACAAGCCATGGACCACGGTGGTATTTACAGAGGTAGTCAGAAGGAGGAGATTAATTAAAGGTCATTTTGACCTTAGTGCTTTATTATTCCCTAATATTAGATATTTATGCCCTTACTTAGACCGCCTTGGGTTTATTTGATGGAGAGAATGATACAGGGGGCCTATTCATGAACAGTCTTTGAGACACATACACATCAGTTAAAACAAATATTGAATATTTTCTGAACTTACATTTTTTGTGACCGATGTAATGTAAACCTGCAGCTTTGGAGAAAGAGCTGCTTCCCCGGAGAAACCACCCCTGGGGAGGCAGGAGCCTCCTGTAAACTCCTTTACAACCCATCTACAACTTGTTTAATATGGCATTTATTTATTTTTTTTAAATGCATGTGCTAAGTATTTCACTCTGCCTATCACTATTAATCTGCATTCCAGCTTGTCTTTAATCAATTTCTAGGCAAAGTAGGGATGAAAACGGGATTTTACCTACCCCTGATGAAAGCATCTGCCAAGGAACAGGAAAGAAATAAGCGCAAGAGACTTGTTAATAAACCAGTAAAAACATCCAGAGACGCAGCTTTACAGCCAGGGAGCCTGATTAAACCATCTGCTTTTAAAATTGATTTCCTTTAGCAACTGGCTTAAGCGCTGGGGCATCCCTGCTTTTCCCTAGAAACTGCTAAAGCTTTGGGGGATGTTTGCAATAAGTTCTTCCACTTGTGCCCTGGGACAATCTTAGGGCTTTTGTGGAGAAGTCAATCCCCTGTGTCACCAGGCTCTGCTGAAACACCACGGGGTGTCCACTGCCCAATTGATTTTCCACACACCACCCCCTTCCATTGCAGATGAAGGTCCCCCCCTTTTTTTTTCCCCACTTCTGCTTGTCTGTTCTTCCAGGAATGGTGTAAAGCAGCAGTGGAAGGGCCACCCCTAACACCACAGGCTTGAAGACCATGCTCCCTGATGACCTCTCTCTACTGGAGATCCTTCATCCCTCCAATAAAGTAAAATAAATCCCTGTTAATGACGGCCACGGGGCTCCATTGCGTGCAAAAGCCAAGGGGTAGGATCCTTCCCAGCTGCAAAGCCGGCAGCAACGGGGGTGGTGAAGCTGCTGGGAGGTGGTGGCAGGGGTTACACCTACCACAGTACCTGCCCTGGCTGACCTCAGCACCATAAATCCAGAAGACAAAGCCAAAAGCATGGGAAAAGCTAATTAAATGTAGCGCCCAAATATAAATTCCTCTCAAAAAAAAAAAAAATTTATGAGCTTCGTGCGAAATGGTTTACTCACCCTTTTATTCTTGAGGAGGAAAAGCTTCGTCACGAGTGCTGGAAAACCACTGTGTGGGGAAATCCGCCAGATTTCGGGAAATGGCCCCGTTCTGTGCCAATTTGGCATAATCTAAGCAGGGTGATGAGCTGCTGCGCGTGTGGTCAGACACCCTGCGTGGAAAAAAGCAGCTTCCTGGCTTCAAGTGTCCAGTGATCACCTCCTGGGGCAAAAGAAACCATCCCAACCTGAAGACCTGCAAACACTTAAAAATAATTCCCACTAAAGACTTCTGGAAATGGTGTGAAGTGCTATTTTGTAGAATCACAGAATGGTTTGGGTTGGAAGGGACCTTAAAGACCATCCAGTGCCAACCCCCCTGCCCTGGGCAGGGACACCTCCCACCAGACCAGGTTGCTCCAAGCCCCATCCAGCCTGGCCTTGAACCCCTCCAGGGATGGGGCAGCCACAGCTTCTCTGGGCAACCTGGGCCAGGCTCTCACCACCCTCACACCAAAGAAGTTCTTCCTGAGATCTCATCTAAATCTTCCCTCTTTCATCTTAAAACCATTCCCCCTCATCCTATGGCTCCCCTCCCTGATCAAGAGTCCCTCCCCATCTCTCCTGGAGCCCCTTTAGGGACTGCAACAAGGATAAAAGACTCTTATTTTTCCATCGTTCTCTTTGGCACACACACCATTCTCCATCTCTCTTGGAGCCCCTTTAGGGACTGCCTGGGCCAGGCTCTCACCACCCTCACACCAAAGAAGTTCTTCCTGAGATCTCATCTAAATCTTCCCTCTTTCATCTTAAAACCATTCCCCCTCATCCTATGGCTCCCCTCCCTGATCAAGAGTCCCTCCCCATCTCTCCTGGAGCCCCTTTAGGGACTGCAACAAGGATAAAAGACTCTTATTTTTCCATCGTTCTCTTTGGCACACACACCACTGCTCAGATGCCTTTTGTTGAGTCACATTATTTCTTTTATTATTAGACGAACACGGTTTAACACATAATTTAAAACTCCACGTGTACACGGCCCAGGATGCAACGTGCTCCCTCGAAACACCGACGCCAGGAAGGTGAACACACCAGCTCCACATTTTGGGACCTCACAGGGATGTTACCAAGGGTGGGGAGTGGAAGCTTTGCAGGCAGGGAGGTCTAGGTGGGACAGGAGGAAGCACGTGAGGAAGAGGTAAAGAAGAGGAAGAAGAGAGTAAGCCAGATCTGCCCTGCCTGCTCTCAAGGGGCTGTTCTCCATCTCCCCTCCCAAATCCCCTGAGAGGGTGAAGGAGGCCATCAACCAGCCACAGGCCATTCCACACCGTGTCTCCTACTCCCACTCTCTGCCCAGGGAGAACACACCGAGCTCCCTCCTCCTCTTCCTCCTCCTCCTCACTGCCAAGATCTACTGAAATCAGTGGACAAGTCACCAAAGACTAAGAGGATTTGGCACTTTCCTGGTGAAGACCCCGCTCTTGCACCCCTGTGAAGTGCCACAAGGCACTGCCCAAAATCTCAGGGTCTGACTGCTTGAACCACAGTATTCCCAGAACGGGACTCCATAAATAAATGGCCTTAATGAGTCCTTAAATAAATGGGGGGATGGGGGCCAGGAAGGACAAGCAAGAAATCCACTGAGAGCTTGGCAGCTCCTCTTCATTTCAGTGATAGCCCTTGGGCTGCTCAACACTTCATGTGCAAACATGGATTTAGGGACTTTACAATCATACAACAGTGACAGACTAAAATTGCACAGAGTTACTCCAGGTCCACTTCCCTTGGAAGGTTTGATTCTAGACAGTCAACAAAAAGGACAAGAAAATAAACGAGAAAGCCAAACTAAGAAAAATCAGGAGTTCAGAAGACTCATCAAAAACTGTTTCAACCTTACAAAGCGTCTGCCTTTTGACTCAGGCCCCAAAATCAATTTACCGCATTATTAAAAAAATAGCAAACAGGATTTGGCACTTTCCTGGTGAAGATCTCGCTCTACCGTGAAGTGCCACAAGGCACTGCCCAAAATCTCAGGGTCCGACTGCTTGAACCACAGTATTCCCAGAACGGGACTCCATAAATAAATGGCCTTAATGAGTCCTTAAATAAATGGGGGGATGGGGGCCAGGAAGGACAAGCAAGAAATCCACTGAGAGCTTGGCAGCTCCTCTTTGTTTCAGTGATAGCACTTGGGCTGCTCCACACTTCATGTGTAAACATGGATTTAGGGACTTTACACTCATACAACAGTGACAGACTAAAATTGCACACATTTCAGTGATAGCCCTTGGGCTGCTCAACACTTCATGTGCAAACATGGATTTAGGGACTTTACAATCATACAACAGTGACAGACTAAAATTGCACAGAGTTACTCCAGGTCCACTTCCCTTGGAAGGTTTGATTCTAGACAGTCAACAAAAAGGACAAGAAAATAAACGAGAAAGCCAAACTAAGAAAAATCAGGAGTTCAGAAGACTCATCAAAAACTGTTTCAACCTTACAAAGCGTCTGCCTTTTGACTCAGGCCCCAAAATCAATTTACCGCATTATTAAAAAAATAGCAAAATAGCAAAATAGCAATATATTTAAAACTACCCCTTTTTCAGTCGAAGAAGACCCTACGTTCTGGCAAGGCACTATCCAGCCACGGGTGGCACCAACAGAACCAGCCTCTATCAAAGCCACTGATACAGTGAACACGCGTCAGCCCCACACCACAGCTCCGGCGAGGGGCAGAGACTTACACCCCACACCACTCCCCCTTTTTAATAAAAGCGGGGCAGTTACAAGGATTAGCTAAAAATGGGGATCGTTTGGTTCTCAAGCATACCTTTATATGCAAATATTTCAAGCAAAACTTAAGGATTTGCTATTTCTTTCAACAGACGGCTCCGGTTTCCACAGCCCATTTCAGTTACCCCATTTCGTCGTTACAAAACTCATTAAAAATATTCCGGATTATCTTGTGTAACAAACTAGAACTCTACTTCTTTTAATTACAAAAATAAGGCTGTTGCACAACAGACCAAATTCACATTCAAGCAATATATATGCTTTTTTTTTTTTTTTTTTTTTTTTAAAACTAGCCACTTTTATAATTCAAAAGCACATCTCCTAAGGGACTTACACTGCCAATCCATGCAAGCAAGCAGGATGTCTTTGGAGCTAGTGTTGTCCTCCACACCACCGCCGGTGCCACCACGCGTGCTCTGAAACAAGCTAGCCTTCTATTCTACAGTTATCAAAAACTCCAGAGGAGTTTGGTGAAACTAATTTCATCCCTGGAGAAATCAGCGCTGGGTTTTGCCTCTCCCGTCAGTAAACCTGGGATCTGGCCCAGGATTCCTCACGTGGATTTATTTTCTGACACGCTACCTAAATAAGTTTTTCAGAACTGGAACTTCAGGCAGTTCTCAAAGTTTACAACATATCAAGTACAGGATAAATCCAGGATGGCTTCTCTGTAATCAACTGCATAATTACGTAAATTTCTACCTGTATTCATTTGTAAAGTTAAATATTTTTCTTTAACTGTTTTTTTTGTGGTTTTTTTTTAGGAATAGTTATACTGAACTGGGTGAAGTTAACAACATACAGCTCCACCTCACGTCACACCCCCTTCCTACGGTGAGGTTCTTGTCTCATGAAAACATGGCATTGGTGACAAAAACATCACAGTAACTTACCACAGGCAAAGTATTTCTTAAAAATGCACATCCATATACGTATATACATCTACATATATGCATGTTCTGAACTCCCATTCAGGATTCCTCTAGAGAAGGTGCTGCAGCTAAAGATTTTGACCAGTAAATAGAACCACAGACTTTGGTGCTCCTCGCTCCACCTGGTCCTTGTTTGGTCTGGTAAGAAGGTGGCCAAGAGGTGACCTAACAGTAGCCTACCACTGTCTTGAGGGCAGCAACACAAAGGATGGTGCCAATCCCTTCCCATGAGTGCCAGGAAACAGCAAAGGAAATGGACACAAATTACACCCTGGGAGCTGAGGCTGGACATGAAAAGGAAGTTTTCACTAGAAGATCACTGGAGCATTGGGACAGGTTACCCAGAGGGTTATGAGATCTTCATCTTTGGATATTTTTAACATTCTGCTGGACAAATCCATACCCGACCTGAGCTGGTGTTGGTGTCAGCCCTGATTTTGGCAGTGCTGGACCTCCACCTCTCCCTTCCCACTAACACCTCTCGAATGCCACGGTTACTGATTCTAAACAGAACACAGGATTTGTTGCACAAAGTGTTGCTTTCTGACACTTTTTACAAGTTTGGCGTCCTTCAAAGCACACAGTCTGAGTGATGCTGGGATTGCAAAGCAGCTTTCCCATATACTGTTGATTTTCATTTACCCAAAGACATCAGGACATTTCCTGGAATGGCACTGCCCTCTCATTACGAAATCACTGGAGTAAAAGCTCCAGCACAGCATAGCTGTTATTGCTACAGCCAGACTTGATTCAAAATGCATAATGCAATTTGACTTCTGTCTAGAATGCATTTTTTAAATGGTTATTGGCAAGTCACAGGCCTAAGTTCTGGGATGGGCATCAATGCTGTCCCACTGGAACCACCTCCACTTCCTTCGCTTGGCTCCTGCTCCTCAGCTGAGCCCACCCTCAGCTTCCTTGCTGTCCCTGAGGCACCTCCACACTTCCATGCCTGGAGATATAACCAGGACAACAGCCGGGTGGGTTAGGTGTGTTCTTGGACCATGGTAGAGGGTTTAACCATTCATGGGACCAAGCCCTGGCTCTCAAAGTATCCCCCTGACTCTCACGTGGCTCATGGTGGAGCTGTGTGTTGTTGAAGGTAAACTCAAGGTTTTTGGCAAAACTTCATTTTAAGATAGTCCAACTACAGAGCTCCAGCTTTGGGTGTTAAAGCCTCTCCCAGTCAAGAGAGAACAATATAATCACTAGCTATGAGACCTCTCCTGAACTACCCGGTATTTTTCACCAAGTGTTTTCCTGCGCATTTCACCCGCATTTGGACCAGGAACCATCTCAACATATTTCACTTTGGCATCTCCTCCATGATGACAACAAGTGGTTTTAAACAGTCAGTGGCAATGTGCATCGTCAGACAAATCAAGTTTTCGTGAAGAAGTTTAGCAGCCCGTGTCTCTTACAATAAACAGGAGCTAACATAAATATCGCAATAAATAAACGTAGAGCAAAAAATTACGGCAGTTATTGGCTTAGACTGAGATCTTAGGATTGATGATTTTTACCTTCTGGATCATAGCCAGCATAAACGTTCTAATAACCACCAGCACTTTAACTATCCTGAGGAGCTAATTTCAACTACAGTAGTTGGAAGAATTAAAAAAGGTAAGGAATCTGATTACGTAAGTGTATCCATGAGGGACAGAAGCCCAACACTTCCACTCCTTATCCTCAAACACACGTGCCTGTTAGAATATCAGTGCCAGTTGCAACAGCAATCCAAAGACAAGAGTGAAACATCCACAATGAGCATTTTTAAAAAAGGAAGGTGAGTAGCCTGGCCTTAATCCTGTTTCATACGTGTGTAATTAACTCCAAATTACTGGAGAGCAGCGTCCGGTGGCAAGCAGACTGCTACTAATGACGTGTTTGCTCTGTCACAGTGATCCATTAGGGAAGCTGTTGTGTGCTGAAGAACAGGGTCGTTCATCTGGGAGGTGTGTCCATCCATACTTCAGATAGTCCTTCTAGGGTTCCGACTCCTGTTCAGAAGAGAAAAAAAAAAAGACAAGTTTCTTAACGCTATGAACACGTTCTCATCTCCTGTGCCTGTCACCTGCACGTTAAAGGTGTTCCCTAAGCCTGGTCCACACAGCAGCTGAGGATGCACCACAGGACAGAAGCCATGATCTAGCCAAGTTTATAGAGACACTCCCCCAGGCCCTACAACGGGTTATTTCCCAGGAACAGAGCTGCACAGAAGCTGCTATTTCTGACTGCAGCAGGACATCATCTTTTTTTTTTTTTCCTAGCACTAGTTCTCCAAGCACGGAAGCAAGGCAGGCTGCCAAAATAACCTGCTTTTGCAGTTCCCTGCTGAGGTTCCCTCCCACTCCTGTCCCTCGTGGGGTCCAGAAATAAATTCCTGGCAGAAGAGGAACTCCATAGATACCCAAGAATTACCATCCAGGCATGAAACAGTACTACTGCCAAACACAGCTATCTCTACAGTAGGCAAGGGGAAAAAATCCTCCCCTATGTGTCTCCTCTACTGCACCCACACAGTCTCTTTGAACAAGTGCCCAGGCTTCCATATGGGAATAAAATCTCCTCCTTACACTGCCTTCAACAGAAAGATGTTACCTGGCTTCGTGTTCTCACCTGTATATGTGTATTTGTTAAAACTGAATTCTTATTCAAAAAGTTGATATAACTCCTCACCACTCCAGCATGTCAGCATTTAACTGAAAACTATAAATTCATGGCTAATGGATAAATGCTGTCCTGCTTGAGCCATTATGCCAGGCTGGCCCAGTAAGATGATGGTTTGGTAACATAAGCTGCAGATATTCCAGTGATTAAGATCCTAGTTCTGTCTCATGTTATAATTAAGTCAGCTGTTTTCAATTTAGATTGATAATGTGAAAGCGAACGCATTCTTTAAACTTCATTTATCTGCTGGCTCAAATTAACTTCCCTGTATAATGCGTGGTTTCATTTAAAACACTTTGCTTTTCATGGCAACCGTTTCAATTCCCTCATTAGCATGAAGCTGATATGGACCAGGTATGGATCGGGGCAGTGGTGCATCCAAACGCAGAGAGTTCCTTCAGTCTGAAGAAAATTCAATCTCAGTATTTCAAGAAAACCATGAAAAGTCTGTAACGCTACACTGACCTTTGATGCCAAAGTAGGTTTGAGGCCAAGAAAGGCGAAGACAGTGTTGCTCTCCTTTGATTCAAAAAAGCTATCGTAATCCTAGAGAGGAAGGGAAAAAAAAAAAAAAAAGTGGGTCAACATTTGTATTTGTGTTTTCCTGATTTTTCTTAGCACACCATGTACTGTGCTAAAGGGGGATATGTAATGATGCTGAGGAAAATCTTGATGCTTACCCATATTCTCCTATGCAAACATAAAAGCTATTCTAAACTGCCAGGGTATCACCAAGCAAAGAAAAACACATAAATTTTCTAACTACAACACTTTTCGCTACTTTATTTGACAGGAAAATATAAACATGGGCTTGCATAAAAAAGAAATCTATTGCAGGTATGTTTTAAAGGGTATTTAAGTGCCTAAAAATGCAAATACGTTTCTGATCAGGTTTCCAATCTGCATTTTAGCACACAAAATACTTCCTAACGTGGAAATCTCCAAGAAGAAGTCCTAAGGCAGCTCAACTCCTTATTTCCTCTGTGGTGGAACAGATACTCCATCATCATTGTATCCTTTGAAATCAGCAATCATACCTCAGCCTTGGACAACCACATACTTAAATATAAAATATTAAAGAACATAAAGAAAATATATAAGAAAATAAAGAAACTTGTTAAATAGAAAGATTAAAAAAAAAAAAAAGCTTCATCATCATGATTAAGTTCCTTTTAGGTTTTCAGGTTCTGATCTCAAAGAGTTACTACTACTTTTATTGATTCATTTCTTGCGTTGGACACCTGCTAATCTTCTGTCGTTAGATGAGCTGACAATATTCAGTTTTCAAGGGAAAAAAAGAAAAAAACAGAACACAGTTTAGTGAATGGATTGGGCAACTGGCAAGAAGTCAAGAAGCTTCAGATTCTCTTGGTGATTTGGCAAAGGTTTCCTCTATGACCACCAGCAAACAGTAAAGCACCCAGTGCAGAGGCTTTTCCTCCACCACGTAACTGCAGAATGGAAATATTAATCCTTCTTTAACCACTTCAGACATGTAAAATACTCTGGAATTCTCAGGAAATTTCAGGTATGTGCTCATCACTACACAGCAATTATCTCTAAATATCTAAGATGAATAGTTACGCCTAACTTGAATGCATTCAACAAGAGAAATCCCTGTAACACTGACTGTGCACACACTTGCTTTTAATAGAGTAGCATCAGGCAGTCTCCGTGCCTCCACATGCTCCCTTGTCTGTGCAACAGTCACTCCCAAAGTCAGCACTTCTTTGCCTCCTCACCCCTAATTTCATTACTTTTTGAGAGTTCAGTCTGTGCAAGTCACTCCCAAAGTTAGCACTTCTTTGCCTCCTCACCCCTAATTTCATTACTTTTTGAGAGTTCCCCTCTCATTGTTACAGTTTCGGGTGCTTTCCCTGAAAAAGCAGAAAAACGTAAAATAGCTTTTATCCTGCAGAAGTAGTTTCTGAACCTCCCCTGGTGCAACGTGAGGGTATCACTGCAGTGATGTGATTACAGACACTGCCATAATTAATTTGGCCCAGCATTTTGTTCAGCAGGTACTCTGAGGCTTGTTTAAACAAACACCATCACTGCTGGGACAAACTCTTTACTGGCCCAGCAAAGTTAGGATTGGCAGCGCTGCCGTTCAGCAGAAATCACTATTTGTGCTTCAAGGAAGGGGGGTTGGACTAGATGATCTCCAGAGGTCCCTTCCAACCCCATTATGATTCTATGAAAACAACACAAGCTTGATGGCACCAGGTGAAAGCAAAACATTAACACAAAGGAGACTGCACCTACAATTAGCAATTGCACAGACACTGTCTACCAACTGAGATTAGGAGAAGACTGTATCTAATGAAGTTTCAAAGACAGTAATTTAAAAAGCAACTTGGCTTTGTCACCGTTTGCTGTTAGTTTGCCACAAGTGACAGAGTGAGCTTGGTACACAGTGAAGAAAATTCCTCGCAGTAAGTTTCTTTTAAAAAGCAACTTGGCTTTGTCACCGTTTGCTGTTAGTTTGCCACAAGTGACAGAGTGAGCTTGGTACACATCTCTGACAAATCCTTACTGCTGACCACACCAAGAAGCAGAAAAATGAGGAACCCGCCCAAATAGAACTTGCACTGCTTTTTATACAGATTTTTTAAACTGCACTAATTATCAGTCAGCCCTCAAAGATAATCTATTGGAATGCTGTTCCTATTTGTTTCTCTTTGGCAACAATTTTTCAATATATGGTTATGATCTCTTCGCTCTTACAAAAGGGGCAAGGTAATTGCTTTTACAAGTAATAAGGGGGAACTCCTGACTTCAATGCAGTGAATCAGTGCTGTGCCACTGGGTGAGTTAACACTGGATCTGGCACTGAGGAGGAGCTGGATCTGCCACTGAAGAGGAGCTGCCAGCATCCCTCCTGCAAAGGGCAGTCCGGTTCTCCGGGACAGATGACACTCCTTCACTGATCCGATTAGGATTACAATGGAAAGCTCTTACTCAGCACAGCTCTGCCTTGGAGATGGAGCCTGTGTGCATGTGAGAGTCGCACTGAGGAGGAGCTGCCAGCATCCCTCCTGCACAGGGCAGTCCGGTTCTCCAGGACAGATGACACTCCTTCACTGATCCGATTAGGATTACAATGGAAAGCTCTTACTCAGCACAGCTCTGCCTTGGAGATGGAGCCTGTGTGCATGTGAGAGTCTTTTTTTAATATTATATAAATACACAAAACCAAGGAGATCTTGTCTGCACGACACAGGACGGTCTAAACATGACAGTTTTCAATTAGATGACCCTCTAATGAGATCTCTGCACAGGATCTTTAAGGAGCTTATACAATCCACTCTACAAAGCAACCTGTTACTCCTCTCCTAAGGGACAGATGTTTACTGCAGTAAACAATAAAACAAGTTACATCTACTTTAAAACAAGTACTTGCTTTAAAGTAGATATAACTTTACAAGGGACACGACAACCACGTGTGAGTTGGTTTTCCTTTTAGAACATTTTACCCATAATCAATATTAGGCAACATGTCAGGGCACTAAATGAAATACAGATTTTCCCCTGCCATTTGTTTATTTTAGGAATTGGACACTGGCAGAATCATCTTTCCACCTTCTCTTTATTTTCTGTGGTTAATTCCGAGAAGAACAAAAATGTGAATCTACTAAAGGAGGAAGAAAGCCCCACTCATTGTAACGGCACTGCAAGGGATTAACAGGGTTTTTACTTATAAATGGATTATAACTTTGCTGCATCTTCAAAGTGTGTATTAGAACATGACCAGATTAGCACAATCACAAGTGAAATAGTGGTGAAAAATAATTTCTTACTTCATCCTGCATGCATACCCTGTGCAATACCACATCCTCAAAGTACTGCTTTCACTGTGTAAGCTTTCTTACCCTTTCCACAGTATATTTTAATAGATCAGGTCCTTTATAAAAGACTTTAACCAAATTAGCCGTGACACCTTCCAAAATAAACCTCTATGTCACAATAGGAACTTTTCATTTCATGCAAAGGAGAATTAGGATCCTATACAAAATTGTTAGTAGCTTCTGTCACACTTACTGATTATGCATCAGTTCTGCAGAACAGCAGTGTAATAAATATAAAAATCTAAAAGAAAAAAATGTGTGCTATTTTCTACTATCTCCTGTAAAGGTGACATTTCTAATTTTATACTGGTCACCTTCAAATGTTTTAAAATACATAACACTCTATATCATTTTATTTAGGAAACAGAATGTCTAAAACCAGAGTAAGTTATCTCCAGAGATGCATCAAATCTTTGACAGCTATCATCTTTATGTGGTGGGATGGTTCACAAGCAAATATCTGCTACTTCACCTTGTAACAGCTATTCAAGAAGTTTAGAAAGCAGAGAGGAATAAAGTAAAATTAAAATAAAATACAAATAAAAACTGCGGTGCTCAGCAGGAAGGTACTCTCTCCACTGCAGGGTAACCAGCAGCACTAAGATACCAGTTCTAATGGCTCTGGGGAAGGTAAAATTCTTGGATTATTTTATTTTTACTGAACTGTGGAGTTTCTATTTTTTAAGGTCTTATGCTGGGCAGGCTGGCTGCTCTACACTTTGGTACCACGCTTCCTTTTCTTAAGGATATATCACACAGAACTAAAGCTCTTTGCCTCAGGACACAGAAAAGCAGTGGAGAAGCAGAGAGGAAAACCACAGGCATAGTCTGGAAGTTACAACCTTACAGACTCTTCCCTTTTCTTTCTCTTCTCAGTGACCAGATACCGATTTGTCATTTGACAAACACAAAAAAGGAAGAAAAAGAAATTTGTATCAATCTTTCCAGGGTCTTTAAAAAAAAAACAGAAGGGACTTATAGTTAACAGTGCAAAGAAATCAGTGCCACAGTAGTTGCCTGCACGTTGAATAGTTTCTCGAGAACACTGCACCTCTTTCAGCAGCCTATTTCATTTCTTTCTTGTCTACAGTCTTCACTGTTTTGATGGAGTTGATACCCATATATCACATTTCAGGAAAGGACAATAAATATCACATATCTCTGTTTCTACTGCTACCCACTAGGTGCTCTATCAGGACGTAGCCTCACACTCTAAACCGTATCAGCAGCTTCCAAGAAAGGAAAAAAAAAAAAAGGAAATAAAAAAAAAAAAAACAGGTAAAAATAAAAAAGTCAGCCTGCCATGTAAATATTTTCCTATCAGTTCAAACTCCCACCAGGAGTCCCTTTTAATTTTCATCGGCCTAAATTTCAGGCCACCTCACATCAGTGGAAAGCTTCTGCATATAAAACTGTCCATGTTTCAAAGTGCTAATTCACAGCTTTGTAAGGGTAAAATTCAAGTGGGATTTCACTGCGAAACGGACATTTCCAGTCTTCTGAAAGATCCAGGAGTCAGTTTGAGTCTAAGAAGGGTTGTGTATTGAGTTGTGGAGATGTCAGAGAAAGCGGAGGAGGGAGGTGTGAGGCACAGGCCTAATTTCAGACATCATTTTCTCAGCATTTCTTGCTTTCTGCTTTAAGAGCTCTCTGTGTCCGGTGTTCTGGCAACTGCAGATCCTGTTTGGATAACATTTTCTTACCTGCCATGTGAAGAAGTTAGAGCCCTAGCTGGGGGCTGCAAATTCCACTCTGGAAGCCAAAAATTCAAGCATTTCAGTGCTTGGCGTGGTGCTACAGGCCCTACTGCACCCATCTGCAGCCATCTCTCCACCTGCCTGGACTTTCCATGGTCTGTGTAAAATTCCAGTGGGGCATTCCCAACTGGTCGCTTAACCCTACGAAAAGCCAACGTCAGTGTCTCTGCACACACCAGTACAACCTTCTGGTTACACTGGGATGTTCAAGAAACTGGAGGGCTGTTGCAACTGAGGTGGAAACCTCCGTCCTGGAGGAGAAGAGGAAGGTGCCATTCTTAATTTCCTCCACAGTTTCCTCTCCTGCTGGAGAAGAGGAGAAAGGTCTAACTGCTAGTTGTCTCCAGGAGATGGTTCCCAGAGTGCTGGGATGGCAGGGGCCAAATAGCAGATTGGGCTCAAGGCCAATACTTTTATCATGGCTCTTCCAGGCAAAGCAAAATAAAGTGATAACACAGCAAACAGCAAAAGCTGAAAACAGCCATTAACAAGGTCTCCAGTTTGATGTACATGGAGAAAGGGAGCAAGGAACAGGGCAACTGAGGGAAAAAGACAAATCAGCATGAAGGACAAGCCAGTGACCAGCAACACAAAGTAACAGCCTGCCAAGTAACGTAAGGGCAAGCTGTTCATAGCTCAACAGGCCCACGACACATCAGGACACCTAGAAAATGACACAATGTATAGATGGGTGGCCCACACCAACCCATTTTGGATACTGACTGAAAATACAGAAGACAGACTTCCTTTATACTGCAGTTACATTGTGAAAAGTGCTTATTTCAAATGGTAACGTCCTAGCGAGAAAAATCTGAGATACTACCCTTGTGCTCATTGCTGAGGTTTTCTACTAAAGTGAAAAAGGGAGACAAAGTAAAAGCATTATTTTTCTTACTAACACAGAAAAAACCAGTATTATTACTGTTAAATATTACTTATTAAATAAGTCTGTATTTTCATTAAGAATGTATAAGGCAGAAAGAGCACGTAGGCAGCTTTCCAGTTAGGCTGTAGAACTGGCAGGCAGAAAAAAAGAGACAGTGTTTGACAATAGAGCAAATTGGATGAGAAATATAAGTCATAATTTTCACTGACTCAACTAACAGAACATTCAGTGGGTCCCTCTTCAGTTTAAGTTATCTAATAGTGATTTTCTTTTATTATTATCATTTATGACAAGACAAACATATGAAGACACTCACTGTGGAAATGACAAAGAGAGACAAGTTGTGCGATGTCTGCTGACTTCATCTAATTGTGATATTTTAACCCTCTTTGCCTCCTGCCTAATGTTTTGCCTCCACTCTGTTACCCAAGCTCTTCCTTAACTAATGCAGCAGGTGAACTGATGAGCCTTGGACATCCTGCACATCCTTCTTCCTTCATCCTAGAAAACACCATTTCCTTCAAAGCGTGTTGGCTCTTTAAAGATGTTCATGCAAATGCTGAGGTCTAGTAATAGGATTAGCTCTGCACAACCAGAACAGGTTATCAGCTGAGCAGCCAGATTAACAAGATCATCTCACATGTTGCATGACATCTTCTTCTTCGCCAATTCCAAACAGCACTTTCCAAGACTGGGTGAAAACAAGACAAGCTGAAAGGGTAAGAAGCAACTTAAAACATTGTATTTCCCAGGCAAACTAAAATCACACAGAACATAAATGTTATTTGTAAGTCAGGGGCTGATCCATGAGCGAGGGTAAAATCCCTTCCATGTGCCAAATATATTTCGTTAACTGATATTTCTTACCCAGAAGTAGGAAGATATTATTTATTCTGCTGAGATGAACAAGTAAGGCCAATGTAAAACATATGGGAGGGATGTTCCATTATATTTCCCAGGCAAACTAAAAATCACACAGAACAACATAAATGTTATTTTTAAGTGAGGGGCTGATCCATGAGCGAGGGTAAAATCCCTTCCATGTGCCAGATATATTTCGTTAACTGGTATGCCCAATCCCTTCCTGAGTCAGTCAGGGTGATACATCAAATCTCCCTTTCTCCCATCAGCCAGTCTAACTGGTATCTCAATCCCACCTCCTAAAAGATGTCCAAGTCAACATCGCCAAAATACGAAAAGACACAGCAAGGCAAAGAGGGCCCAATTGTGGTCTTTCTACAACATTTTGTTCAAAGGTGAATAAAAGTTCTGGGAAGATTCTCCCAGACTAAAACAGTGCCCAAGGCTCAGAGCTGCAGTGTACCACACTGGCTAAGCAGGAGAGTAAAACACTTAGAATCAAAGGATCACAGAATGGTTTGGGCTGGAAGGGACCTTAAAGATCATCCAGTGCCACCCCCTGCCCTGGGCAGGGACACCTCCCACCACACCAGGTTGCTCCAAGCCCCATCCAGCCTGGCCTTGAACCCCTCCAGGGATGGGGCAGCCACAGCTTCTCTGGGCAACCTGGGCCAGGCTCTCACCACCCTCACAGCAAAGAAGTACTTCCCCAGATCTCATCAAAATCTCCCCTCTTTCAGTTGTCCTAGATCACCAGCTTCCTGCATTAAGCTAACAATTGCACTGCAGTTCACAGGTTCACAGCAGATCTGAACGATCCATCAGCCAGAAGCAGCTTAGTCACAGCACTGCTGAGTCTGGCAGGGACTAAGTTAGAACCAGCTTGGATGTATCTCCACCACACTGTAGTCAGTACTTAATCTGATCCAGCTACTATGATTATAAAGACCCTCTTTCCCATTTCATTCTCCTGCTGAATTCACAGCCAAACCTTGCCCAATCCCTTCCCGAGTCAGCCAGGGTGATACATCAAACCTCCCTTTCTCCCATCTGCCAGTCTATCGGTATCTCAAACCCACCTTCTAAAAGATGTGCAAGTCAACATGGCCAAAGTATGAAAAGACCAGGCTGAACCCCCCCAAGTCTCTCAGCCTGTCCTCACAGCAGAGGGCTCCAGCCCTCGGAGCATCTTCGTGGCTCCCTGTTGACCTGTTCCAACAGGTCCATGTCCTTCCTGTGCTGAGGACTCCAGAACTGGACGCAGTGCTCCAGGTGGGATCTCCTCAGAGCAGAGCAGAGGGGCAGAATCTCCCCCTCACCCTGCTGGCCACGCTGCTTTTGATGCAGCCCAGGATGCAGTTGGATTTCTGGGTTGCCAGCACACATTGCCAGCTCATGTCAAGCTTCTCATCCACCAAACTACCATTCTGGACATATCAAAGGCTAATGTTCCAGCTTACACTAGAGGACTGAGAAATCATTGTAGCCTACATCATCAAAGAAACCAGTCCACCCATCGATCTCGTCAGACTCACGGGCTCTCACGCTTAGCAGTATTTCAGCAGAGGAAGACAAGTCTCAAGCAGAGAAGGAGCTTAATTAGAATGAAAATATAACTCAGTCTAGGCAATGATCTCATTTCCTACGCCGAAGATTTCCTTCTTAATTTTTGTGCCTGAACTAGATCCAAGTAGCAAAAAACCCATAAATCTCCAGCTTACAGCGGAGTTTCACAAGGTTGGCCATCAACAGGTCGACTACCATTCTGGACATATCAAAGGCTAATGTTCCAGCTTACACTAGAGGACTGAGAAATCATTGTAGCCTACATCATCAAAGAAACCAGTCCACCCATCGATCTCGTCAGACTCACGGGCTCTCACGCTTAGCAGTATTTCAGCAGAGGAAGACAAGTCTCAAGCAGAGAAGGAGCTTAATTAGAATGAAAATATAACTCAGTCTAGGCAATGTTCTCATTTACTACACCGAAGATTTCCTTCTGAATTTTTGTGCCTGAACTAGACCCAAGTGGCAAAAAACCCATAAATCCTCAGCTTATAGCAGAGTTTCACAAGGTTGGCCATCAACAGGTCGTACCCGAAGCATGTGATATTACAAATCCTCACATTTGTGGAGGGAATCCACCAGCTGATGACAACTTCTGGATTTACAGATGAATGATCCGAATTTTGTAGGATCATCACCTGCTCCTATCGCCCCAAACTGTCACCATTAATTCAGATCCTACTGGAGAAAGCTCAACAGCACGGCCCAGCTTTTTAAATGGCCAACAGAGCATACTAATATATCATCCATTGACAACCACAACAGCTACTTACCCCACAGTACCGATCATCGATGAATATCTGCGGTGGCAGTGGGTTGCCCTGCGCGGGCTGCCTATCCTCAGGAATGTTTTTATACATCCATTGTCTTTTCTCCTCTGACATGGTGATATCCACTTCTTCAAACTCTATGCGATTGGCCTCCAGAAACCTCACCACATCTTGTTGCCTCTTCTTTATCTAGAGGAAAGAAATTAAAACAAAAAAAGACCAATACTTAGAACAAGTCCACCATAAATCAGACATGCTTGCAAACCTGAGCACACTCCTCCTCTCCCTATCCCATGGAAGTGGGACAGAAGTCACAAACTACACAAAATAAAGGAGAAAATGCTTTTCTTCAGTTTTAAATTCATAAAATTTAAACGCTGTTGTCTTCTTTACAAGTTGGCAAAGGTTATACCTCAGTTCTAGAAGGCTGTCTCTTTAGTTAATCTGGGGGAATTTCAGCTTTTACTCTCTATAGATGATTTTAAAAAAAGATCTATATTGGGGTCTTCAGCAGGAGGAATTAAAAGAGGCAGTTTGTTTTCAAAGTCATTAGGGCCTACATTTTTAAAGGCACCACCTAGAAATGCAAGGTAAGCAACCTGGTGAGCCCCAGAAGGATCTACTCCGTTAAGTGTTCATTGAGATAAACATGTTGGTACAGCTAAAAAAAACAACCACCCCAGCTACACACATTTTTGTTTTCCTAGACACCCACACATCTTTTAAAAATGCAGCCTGATGGTTCCCTGAACAAGGCTTGTTGAATCTTTAATTAAGAGTGTCTGTCTGCATAATACACACGCCTAAAAATAACCATGATCTCATCTCTTGAAAATTAACTTCACTGCAAAAAAAAATAAAAATGCATGAGGTTTGTACTAAATGTATGAGGTTTCTGCCCCTTGAGGAGATTATCATCTTTATACAAAAGCCTAACAGAGGCAGAACACTGGCAGTTTTTAGCTCATCACAGCTATCTAAGATCAACACTTCACAGCCAGCAGGGCTTCAAGCAGATACACTCAGGTGAAGACTAATTTTGCCTCAACAGGCAGCAAGTCCCAGGCAATGGGACAAGAGGAAATGGCCTCAAGCTGCACCAGGGGAGGTTCAGATTGGATATTAGGAAAAATTTTGACACTGAAAGGGTTATGAAGCCTTGGAATGGGCTGCCCAGGGAAGTGGTTGAGGCACCATCCCTGGAGGGATTTTAAAGTCAGATTGACATAGTGCTTAGAGACATGGTTTAGTGATGGGTTTTATCAGAGTTAGGTTGATGGTTGGACCAGATGATCTGAAAGGTCCCTTCTAACCTGGAAAACTCTGTGATTGTATGGTTCTATGACATGGGACTTTATATCAAGAGAGCAACCTTTGAAAGGACAGTCTGTAGGGCCAAGGGAAGCTGCCTGGGCTCAGTCAGCTATGTCTGCTCTCCGTTCTTTTCAGTCCACGCTGTACTTTTCGCAGCTACTTAATGAAACAAAATCTTTATCTGCATTTTTTCTAGTTAGTATCAACAGCGTTATTTGCAGAAAAAAACAAATAATACAGCTTTAATGATTTTACAGTATTGCTGGAGTGTGAGATCCACACGGTTGCTGACTGGCATAAAGCCCAGGTGGATGAATCACGCCTGTGGGTATCATACGACCTAGATACTATTTGAAAATCAGAGAAATTTTAAAGTGCATGTGCTAGTTGTTCTTGTCACACAACCCGTTCTGTCTACCTAAACGCACCACAAAAATAGATTACTTTTGGAGGCGATGCTGATGGAGTCATTGTTTCCTTGAAAATAAGAGGGAAACCATCCCAAGGAACTGCAAAGACAAAGCTCTTAAATGATTACTCTGTCTTTTTTAAGAAGTGGGCTGCATAGGGAGTTTGTGTCACAGTGTCTTACTCTTTTTCCTTTTCTTTACACGTGGGGTGACATGGATCACTTTTTCATACAGAAGGCAGCTCTTGAAATTGATGCAAATAATGCATTAACGAGAACAGCAAAATTACTGCATCATCATCACTGCTGGTACCAAAGACAACATGCCTTTCCCTGCCTCCCTAAAGATTGCAAGGACAAAATTCTGTTAATGTAGAAGTGAAAGACAAAAATATTTTCCTCTTTCACCAAAAAAAAGCTGCAAGAGAAGCCGAAAAGAGACAATCTGCAACTCAGATTTAAGCAGATCCCTAATATTTTACTGCTCACGCCACGAGAATTCTCCCACAAACCCACATTTCCTAATCTCTCCTTTTTATTTTTATAAAACTAATTAAAATGTTGAAGGGAAATAAATTGTGTTTTTTTTAGCCAGAAGCCTTGCAATTCTCCACACGACATCTGCATGAGTTATCAGCTGGGGATGCACCAGCAGCATAAATTTAAACAAAATGCCCCAAAAATTTTTAGCCAAAAAAAAGTGGCATCTTCTCCTCCCCTGAGGGATTTGATTCGAGCCTGCAAACTGAAACAAGAGCACATTAAAAATCCTATTAAATTATGCCTTGTTGTTTAAGATGGATGCTCAGAGCATCTGCCACAATAGGAGCCAGCTGATTATTCCCCAAGAAAACCACAGGACCTTTGTCTTCCTCCACAACTGGATCCGTGCCGTGGGAGTGCGTCAGCCTCACATCCCTGCCCACAGCTCTTGCCTCTGGTTACTCTGAGCCCTAAAAATTTCCAGCCTTGGACCACACGAAACACTGAGCAACGACAACAGGACACGAGGAGAAAGCAATATCAGTTTGGTGTTGGGTTTTTTTAAAACTTCCTTGTAGTCAGGAAAGAGTACTGGCCAGAAATACAACCAGGAACAGGCAACATCATCTCTTTTTACTGAGCAGTGACACTGACTTTAAAACAAAACCTGTGTCTCTTTACATAATACAATCCAAATCTATCTTTAACATGAAGAAAACTCTGATAGAGCCAGTCATGATATTTGTCTCTCATACATTTAGCAGGCTTACTGTTTTCTGAACAACATTTCTCTGGGTTTGGTTTGACTGTTAACATATGTTTTTATTCACAAAAGTAAGACAGGAAAAAGTGCCCAGTAAAAAAAGCTCCCATCTCCATTTTCTCCCAGTATCTGGAGCTGGTCTCCTTATTAGGATTAAAAAGCAGAAAAACAGGATGTGCATTTTGACATACATCACCGTTAAAAGGAGCTAATCACTTGTTCAGTAGCCTGATTTACCAAAAGAAAAAAAAAAAAAAGTCTCTCTCAGCTAAAGTATCTGGCTTTCTCCCCTGGTTTTCATTTCTTTATGCTGATTTGCAACAGGTAACAGGAGGATCCGCTTTCAGCCCGCTTTGAAGAAACACTTCAAAGCCATCCTCAGGCCAGGCCAGGTGGGACCGCTGGGATTATCTCTTCTGACCTTCACCATCCCTGCATTAATACCTCTTAGGAGGAAAGAGTTTCTTTGGATTTTTTTTCTTCCTAAGCTCCGTTCCTGAACTGATAATAACAGAGAATCTGTTAGTCTTTGTAAATGGTTCCCATAGTTAATTAACTGCCTTCACTTAAAATATTTGCTTGCTTCTGTTGAGAATTTGCCTCACTTCTGGCTTTCAGTCACTTCGCTTTTTGTATCTTTGGTGAGACTGAAAACTCTCCTGTTTAAGATCCATGTTTCCTACACAACTAATATAAAGAGGGATGACAGCTAATCTGAACGGCGATCTCCGGTATAAAGGTAAATCTATCACGAAACAGATCTCCCAGCTAATCTGAACAGCGATCTCCGGTATAAAGGTAAATCTATCACTCATTTAACAGCAGATTAAGGATATTACCATCCTAAATCATCTCCAGATTGGACCAGAAATTTAGCAAAATCAGATCCCATCCTCTAGTCAAAGTTCCCTGGAAGCTTCTCATCATTTACAACAGGTCACAATTTGCTTCTTTTTTCCCCCCTCTCTATATTTCCTGAGCCTGTCTTCGGAGGGTCTTCTGCAGCAGAAAGACTTGGCTGCTGAACCAGAGAAGCTGATCAAGTGGTCTCTCCATTACTAAATGGCAGCAGTATGTCATTATTCTGTAATATTTTAACCAGGATATTCAATACACTGCAAAAATCTCACTAGTCCAGGATTTATCTAACCCACACAGGATAAATACTATACTACACTACAGGCAGATGACTCAAACAGCGGTATTAATAGGAACTGTGAAATAGCCATGATTAAAGAGACTGAACCAAAAAAGTTGATCATGTGGTCTCTCCATTACTAAATGGCAGCAGTATGTCATTATTCTATAATATTTTAACAAGGATATTCAATACACTACAAAAATCTCACTAGTCCAGGATTTATCTAACCCACAGAGGATAAATACTATACAATACTACAGGCAGATGACTCAAGCAGCGGTATTAATAGGAACTGTGAAATAGCCTATGTCATTATTCTATAATATTTTAACAAGGATATTCAATACACTACAAAAATCTCACTAGTCCAGGATTTATCTAACCCACACAGGATAAATACTATACTACACTACAGGCAGATGACTCAAACAGCGGTATTAATAGGAACTGTGAAATAGCCATGATTAAAGAGAACTCTTCTGCCTCATTTTATTAACCCAGTTAATATAAACGGGACAAAGCAGACCCATTCTCAGTTCCAAATCTCTCCAGGGTGTGAGAAGTCATGTTGTGGAGAGTCTGGTGCCCACAAAGTGGACACTTTGGGAGGTTGTTCTTCTGCTCTGGACTCTTAACTCCCACCGTCGGAGAGACTGGTGCCCACAAAGTGGACATGGGAGGTTGGTCTTCTGCTCTGGACTCTTAACTCCCACCGTCTGGAGATAAGATGTTCCCTGGGCTTCAGTCCTCCCACCTGCAAGCAGAGGGAATCACAGCAGGTACCGTTGGGTGCATTGGCTGCTGAGATGTGAAGTACTCACTGTCCTACAGCCTCTTCATCCTGCAACTGAAGGGACCTGCACTGTTTGGTCATACTGTGTCCAGTTTTGGGCCACCTACCATAAAAAAGACATTGAGGTGCTGGAGCGGGTCCAGAGAAGGGCAACAAAGATGGTGAGGGGTCTGGAGCACAAGTCTTATGAGGAGAGGCTGGAGGAGCTGGGGTTATTCAGCCTGGAGAAGAGGAGGCTGAGGGGAGACCTTATTGCTCTCTACAACTCCCTGAAAGGAGGGTGTAG